GGGGGGGGGAAAATGAGGACTGCCATCAGTTTTGCCTGGAACGGGAGATGGTGAGGGAGGAGTTGGTGGTGGGGAATACTCTATGTTTTCGGGGTATTTTTGTGCCTCACGAAAAGAAACTGGGGGCGAAGGAGTAAGGACGTTTGTGTTGTTTTTTTAGCAGTGCATGTGAGATGCTGGGGAGCGTGAAATGGTTGTGTTTCAGAAGGTGTCTCGCCAGATTTGGACGATCTCGGTTTGATTTCGCAGCCACCACGTGTGGCTCTGGCCTCAAGAGTACAGATGCCCAATTTACCCGCTCTGTTACTGCCAATTGAAGCAAATGAATTTATTCGTGTTCGAATCGCATTTGTTGATGGTACTGGTTTGTCTTTTATTTAAGATGCATTTAAGGAGCCGTGATTTCAGGGAGTTGCTTGTGACACTACGGAATTTTTTGTTCTGCTTGAATTTGATTTGTACAAAAATTGTGGTTTGGAAATGGAGAGGATATTGCTAACACATTCGTCTCTCCGCAGATTGTAGCAACCAGGTTGACCCTGAAAGCCTAACTGGTGAAAAGCGATAGATTACAATATGAGAAAAGCAGATAAGAATAAGATAAGACGTTTATACGCTTCAATATACGCTTCAACCCAACACAACGACAGGGCCTCGTCAGTATGACAGTCGCAGTGTTTAAAGGAGAAGAAAAGAAGACGACAAAGGAAAGAAGCAGAAGGAACGAAAAACTGGAATGGGATGGAGCAGGATTAGGACAAAGAAAGGAAAAAGGAAGAAGAGGAAGATTTAAAAGAAAAAATTTAAAAAATGGAAAGAAACCTCGACCATGCACGTTTTGTTACTGGAAATATTACGTCCTGTGCCGGCGCCGCTTGAGTTGTTACTCCTTTTTGCTGTAGCCATGGCTAGAAATGAAAAATTTAGCGGAAAGGAGAAGATGCACGAAATACGTGCATGGAGGACACATCGCGGAACACACGCATAAAGAAAGGTAACAAGCGGGATCGTGATGACAAACTATGCAATATGCGACCGCAGTGTGGTTGAGTGGGTGAAAAGTGCCTGGAGAAATGGCACCTGTTTCTGTGAATAAAACTGCGAAGCAGGCAATTGGTGCAGTAGAAAGAAAGACCCTTAACAGAATACGAAAGAGGCGGCGAGTCGCGGTGGTGAACCCTAAAGTTGGGCTCAGTACGCAAGTATTTGATAGGCTGAACATAAACGGTATGCGTATGAACCGATGGGTATAAGTTACTATCTTTTTCCAAACATCTCTGAACACCGCGACCGTCATACTGACGAGGTCCAGTCTTGTTGTTGAGCTAAGACGTATATGACTTAATGGACTGAAACGTCTTAACTCTTACTTATTTCTCATACACCAGCTATATTTCTACATCCATTAGTACATAGTTTGTTCTAGTCCTGCCCTGTTTAAGTCCATAATATTACTCGTATGCTACAACCATGCAAGAATCAGCTTACTATGCAACGCAAAATGCTTATTAATGGGAAAGGCAAAAAGATTAGTCTTGCAGTAGAGTAAGGGAGCTGCGCGGGGTCACTGTCCACGGAAAGAGTCATGCCAAGGTAATTAACGGAATTGCCGGAACCAGTGCGCTCAATGTCCAAATACTGGACGTACAAACCCAGCTGAAAAGTGTGGAAATGGAGACATTTGAAAACAAGCAAACCTTCAAAATAGCAACAGAGGATGAGGAAGGGGAGCGGAGATTGCTTGGAATCTTGCTGCATTTGAATTCAAGAACCGAAAGGGTAAGGTCGGCAATGTCGGAACTAGCATTACTTCCCATGAGGACGCTCTTGACCTGGTGGAAGGTGTAACCTTCGAAACGAATGTAAGCTTCACCGACGACCCTTCCGAAGGATACTTCCTGTTTCTACATGGATACTACCCCAAATTGACACAAACGGGCAAGGGAAGCGTAACAAACACTTCTTGATATGAGCAGTAATGCATCGGACTGGGTACTGTGAAAACAGAAAGAGGTAACTGGGAGCATCATAAATAACGTGATGAGGCAGTTTAATGAAAAGAGCTGATAATTTAGTTACTACAAAAAACATAATTTGAAAGGACTGTTAGAGAATATGTACTTTGATGATATGAAATGAAATGAATGGTCGTAAGACCACGAAATGAGGAAATGAAATAGATAGCGAAACGCATATGTTTTTTACAAAAAAGTTGAGAAGATGTGAGGAGGACCTGTAGGGAAGCTAAATGTGAACTTGGCTGTCCGTGTTTCATCCCTAAGCTGCAAACACAAACAGTATGCGGTGTGAATTGGGGTGGGAATCGTCAGTACAGCCCCCAGTCCACCATTTGGAAATTCTGATAACATGAATGCGTAGTAGGAGAAGTTCTACAAGATCGCCTTTCAGTGTAGCTTAGTGCAGAGTACACGTGAAATCTGATGCAATTAGAAAATCTTGTACAGATAGTGATAGGAGGATTTCGACATCAGAATATATCAGTGCTGATTGTATGAATACTTATATATGTGGGCTAGCTGCAGTTCGTGTTTAGGCTCTTTATTTATGCACAGCAAGCAGTTACCTCAGCTGTTGTAAACCAATTTGTATGGCCCTGCTGGTAGTGGTCAGTTTGTTGGCGATCGTGATGTTTGTTTCATCTCATCAAAGGATTACCTACATCACCTTTCTTCTAGCAAAAGCTTTTAGCAATAATTTAGCCTTTACGAGATGTGTATTGAGCTTCATCATTTTTATGCGTTTTGTGCTGTGTAACAGTAGTACAAAACGCATATTGTTACGGGTTTGTCTCTATGTGTGTGTGGCCGT